CGTTGGTAGCTATCTTGTTTGTACAGAACACGACATATTACTGGTAGTCTCAGGTGCTCTCCATGTTAAGTTTATCCCTTCCAGCATTACAATGGTGGCATGGCAAAAATGTTTTACTGCCTCATGGGCTGTTTGACCTGCCAAAATTGTGCACCCTCTTTCTCATTTGATATTCATGGGCCCCTCCACAGAAGTGGAATGCACCACTTCTTCATATGAACATCAACAAGGTTTCTCAAAAGAAAATGTCAAACTAAATGAATTTTGTTGAAATGAAACTTCTCGAATGTCATCAAAATTCTGTCAGATATGACGCTTGCAATATATATATTTTTCATGCACCCAGATTATTTTCAGTAGTTGAAAGGTATGAGACCACATATACATGTACGCTGGTACAGTGGGAGTGATTTTGAACTGTAAGAAAATAAAAGAACCAAATCTTTCAAATCCCTTTCTGTCAATTTTGTACTTATTTCATGACTCAATCTTCTTTAAAGATCTTTTTGAGGAGCTTTAAATTACATCTATTGAAAAACACAGCATTGTCTTTATTGAGAGATGTTTTGGAATCAAGTCATTTGGTACAAATGCTTTGACTTAAACTTTGCACGAGTTGTTCTCCATTTGATTTGCACTGGTAGCCAACCAAATGTCCAGAAAATGTCAGCTGGACATTTTTATAAATCTGGTGAATGCAAATTTGTGTTTTAACCACTTAACGCTGGGTAAAAAATTCCCTTAAATTAAACGCTGCCGGGCAGTTTTTTTTGTGATTTCGATTTTGACATTCGTATTCACCATACTTTTATAGGAAAAAAATCACCCAAGAAATGCATGTCATGTAAAGAGTCAGAAAGCAATGAAGCAAGGCCAGGCGCTTTCAAAAAATGCCATTGTTATGTTTATTATGGTGTTACATAACAGCTTCTTTGTTCGACCTCCTCCTGCCAGGAACAACAAACAATGGGCGGGCTGGGCGATGTGTTTGTCAGCCAGGCTGGCCAAAAGCCCTGCAGTATTTCATGCCATTGTACTTCACAAAAGGATTACAGCATATGGTGACTCACAGCAGTCAGTCCAGTTCCCACATAAGGCCAACTGGCTGTGTGGATCAGAAGAATGTGGGCCATATGGGGGTCAACCGGCGCTATGTGGTTATAGCAGTCTTAGAAGTCAGTCAGTCTTAGAAGTTTTTTAAAATGGCATGTCGAGTTGCTATTGGTTCATTTTTGGAAGAATATGCTATACACTGTATGAATAACAGCTTAAAATAGATGTACATAATGTCTGAACGTATATAATGTCTGAAATTTGCATTTCTGGTACCTTTCCACCAGTCCGCAGAGCTCTTCTTGTGTGTACTTGGTCTTTTCTGGGTCAGCATTCTCTTGAAACCACCACAACTTATCAACTAGGAGGCCGATCTTCAAGGAGGTCTCTTGGCGTACCCTTAAGAGAGTAATATTGAAATTAGTTGTTAGAACAGTATACCACCATTACCAAACAAAATGGTCATGAAGCATGTGCCTAACCAATGATTGTCACTTCAAGCTGAAGTGAGTGAGTTCATTACAGTAGTAGGAGGAACATGTACAGACATAAAATCAACTCCTTGATTTCTCTGAAATCTTTCTATACACTCCTAGTGTTACCTTCATTTGAGTTTCAAACTTTGATTTCACTTTTGGAATTTCGAGTTTACTGACTTTGGAGCTTTGAGTTAATTTATCAAGTTTTGATGTTGTAGTGGGCTCTTCTTTGGAGTCTGCAACCCGATCTGGTCAGCCCACATCAATTTTACAGCCTCCTGGCGCAACAATTGGCCATGTTGTTCTTGCAATGAGGCTCTACACATTTTGAATTTTCCTTTCTTTCATGTTTATCTGAAATTCCGAAAGGTTAAAATGAACTAGTAATAGGTACATGTATACCCAAATCGTACATACTGAGGTTTTTAGAGTGAATTGGCCTGCCCATCTACGGTGTATTTCCATGGATTTGTAATTTGAAGATCGGTCTTGTCAAAGAATGCATCCAAGACAGTACCCTCCTTGGACAATTGTACATTTGTGTTGCACTGATATTTTGATGAGTTTATGTCCAGAAATTGTTTCAAAGCACGTACAAAACAATGCAAAAACGCACGATAATGCGTAACACAAGAACTTTAAGGGGTCATCCATGTTTGTATCATTTTCACGAGCGTACAATCTGTGGGAGGAGGGGGTGAATTAGTTCATATGCTTTAGAAACATGTTAAAAATAACGATTATCATGGCCCGGCCAACTATCACCCCCCAACTATAGACCTCTTCACTAACAAATTCATAATTAAGCATGCATGTGCACAAATGGAGTGAGAAGGTAATGAAAATGTACGCAGGTGCGGCTTTAATGATAATTTCTCTTGGGTATTCCCACTTTTTCATTTTTTTCCTCGAAAAATCCCTTTAAATCGTTTTCGCTGTTTCTAAATTAAGTGAAATTTCTAGTGCTATGTAAGAAGATTGTAACTTTTATCTTAATTTTTCCTGCGCACACAAGATTGTCGTTTCTTAGTATGGCCCCCTTCCATAGTAAGTACTATAAACTACACCATAAGCCAACCTGTGCATTTGTAAACTCGAACCGATGTTCAGTCTATCTCCATGGTTCAGTGTATATGCACCGGTGCTATACCCATTCGATTTGCAGCTTTCTGCACTTGGGAAATCAAAAGAACCAGATCCCTTTCTCTTCGGAATCTGCACTGTCTTGTACAACTCCAAACACAAGAACTGAATACCATTTCTTTCGGTAGCACTCCAAGCTATGACCAAGTTCAATTTAAGTACATGCATACATTGAACATCAGTACGTGCTTTTACAAAATGCTCAGGTACATATGTACAAGAACACTAATGATGTAGTTTACATGTTATACTACTTATAATGGAAGGGGGCCACACTAAGAAACAATCTCGTTCACCTTGTGGGTGAGTATTTGGTGAAGTGCAACCATCAATACACACTCCTAGAAAACTGTGCAAAATCGGACTGAAACAGCACCGCCTGTTGACTCTCGTGAAGAGGTTGGCCTCCGTGTTTTAATTGGAAATTCAAGATTATGGCCAGATCACTTTTCATTTCAATTTCATGGGGGTTAGCCACGAAAAACATTTTTTAATCACCTTTCCCAGAAGATACCCCCAAAACAGTAGTAAAACTAAGCGCACATTTCTGAATGTATCGGGGGGTGCCTCCCTCTTTCCAAAATAGGCCCACAACTTGGGGCTTTTTGTTAAAGAAACACCCCGAACCGGAAACTATCAGTCCCAAATTTGGGATTTATACAGGTAGAAATATTTCTATGATCCCTCCTGATTATGGCCCGTCTTAGTGTAAAAATCCCAAGGGATTCGCGCGCAGAAATACATGTACAACCATTTGGTGGAATGTACCCATAAAATCTTTGGTATTAGAGAGGTTCAGTTACGTGTTTTCCCAGAATGCCAACGTTAAGTCTGTGCGGCGTCATGGATATGCGCGTACACATAGCTAAAATGTGTGTAAGCAACACACATTCAGATTGCTAGTTTGCCGTTCGTAACATCAAAAAGACAAGTTTTGCTGTTTGCAGAAACTCAAAGAAAGGTGAGCAAAATGTTCTTTATTTGCAAGTACATGTACATTGTGCACAGAACAAGTGATAATTATGTTTTATTGCAGGTAACTATGTATCACATACTATAGAGGAGGATTTTGGCTTTCAAATATACAACTTTATCCTTTCTACAATATTTATGATGTGATAGTGATGTAAACTAGAGAACTTTTTATTTTGAAGTGTGTGTAATTTGCAAGGATCAGACCTATTTCAAATTGTTTCATTTTGGGGAGGGGGGTTGGTTATTGTGTTTTGTTTGCTAATATACGAATATGATGTCTCGCCACCCCACATAAAAGAAAAGGCATACCTACACTATGGAAGGAGCAAATTTGGATTCTCGGCAAATGATGACATCATATTACTGCGAGAGGTCATAGCAAATGACCCATATGCTTCTCATGAGCCTGGAAAGAGGTGGGATGAAATTGCTTTTGCAACAGGACTTGAGGGCCTTACAGGACGATGTTGCAGGCAAAAAAATCCCTTCTGCTGGCCTATCATAAGAAAGAAGATGCACATGTGCTGAAGAGGTGCTACTCATTCAATAATTATTATTCCAGATCTTTGTAAATAATCACTGAATTCGAGAATGTTGGAGTTGTGTCAGGTGACGAGACTAGAAAAAAGAAAATGAACAAGAAAAAGGAGAAACAAAGGGAACTTGGAGTGGAAATAAGGAAGGCAGCCTTGGAAACAATCTCAAAGAAGCGAACACATATACGGTGTCTTATGTTGGAATTAAAGACTTATATGAGATAATTAAGCAATTCAATTCTGCTTGTATTGTTTCATTCTGTTTACTTTGTTGTAGCCGATGAAAGCCAGATGGGTGATTCTGATTCTGAAATTAACGTTACGCCCCAGAAAGCAAAGAAAATTTCATCGTCCTTGGTTCTACTGCTGTGTTTGAAGTCAAAGTCCAAGAAAGAAATGTCGTTGCAGAAGCAGGAAATCCAGTTGAAGAATGAACAGCTGGCATTTCAGAAAGAAAGTTTCAGCTTGAAAAAAAGGAAAGGGAGAAGATGGAAGTGGAAAGCGAGGAAAGAAAGGCGATTTTGGAATTTCTCAGATGACAACTTATGAAGTAAATCCAAGACACTTGAAAAGAATATCAAATTTATTCACATATTTAAGTATATTCATATACATGTATTTCACTTGGCTGACATTTTCCAAATGGTTTGACTATTAAGTTTGACTATTATATTAGTAAGTTGAATCGTATTACTATTTACTGTATAATAATTGGTGAATCCGTAAATACCAGGACCTTGCAGATGACATCAATGAAACACTCTGAATTTGAACACCGAGTTACAGAGTTATATGCATGTATGCAATAACACATATGAAGCCAAACCATGGTTCACAACCATGCACAATGCATGACATCTAGATGCTCAACCAACCATAAAAACTTCACGTGTGAAATTAGGCTCCTATAACATTCCGGCTTTATTTTCCTTTAAAAAAGAAAATCTCCCTGTACACAATTTTGACCCAGATTTTGAACCCACACCCCATGCATCACAAACTATTATGCTGTAACCACTTGGCTACCGCAATTCACACAAGTTGGCCGTGTTTTTACTGTTGATATACCGATGAAAGGCTGCAATGTGAGTTTAATACACAAATCTCAGACTACCTTAAATACATTTTCTTTTGAACTTTAGGGCAGTTTGAAATCAGAGAATTACAACCTTAAAACTCATTCAATTTTTCCAGAATTCTTTTTTAATGCATCTTCAAATGTAAAAGTAAAAAAATGTATTTGTGATATTCTGGACAACTTGGCATGCAATTGAAAATTATCTAGTAAAACGACACTGACCAAATTCTACATCACATAAAAATTCTTCAGAACTTACACATCCATATCGTTTTATATACATGTATATAAAAATGATGTGTTGTGGCCAGTTCCATTCTCGTCCAGCGTGACAATTCTACAAGCGTCTTGGACTGCTTCAGGAAAGGACCCTCAGACTTCCATATTAAAGATACCAGTCCACCTTTGAGTTGTGCTGAAGTTCTCCTTCAGTAGCTGAAAACCCCCAAACTAGTGCCACCGGTAAGGTCGAACAAACGACGGAGAAATGAATGACCGGGTCTAACTGCCTTACAAATGAAATTAAGACTTCCGAGCAATGACTGGAGTTCCCTGAGCGGAAGTTTGTCTTGGACAAAGCATAATCCAACCTCTGAAGAAGAGCAACTAACTTGGTTTGAGGGAACTGGATTTGTTGACTGACCGTGTCAATCATCAGGCCTAAGAACGCGATGCACGTTGTTGACCCTTCAGTTTTATCTGAAGCTAGGGGAACACCAAAGTCGTTGCAAATGACATGGAATGATGTGAGGGCTTGCGCACACTCCAAAGAATGTGCAAACAAAAAGTCATCCAAATAATGCAGTATGTTATTGGTGGCGGAAACTTTGCGCGTACAGACATCAAGGAATGTCCTGAAACGTTTAAATGTTACACAAGAAATGGAACATCCAATGGGCGTACATGTACACTTGCTGAAGTAGAACTCCCCTCATACCAAAATACCAAGTACTGTAGATCAAAGTCAAAGGGATGAACAGGGAGCAATCGAAATGCTGATTTGATGTCCGATTTGGCCATAAGGGCCCCTCTGCCCAGCTTTGCGATCACTGTAACCGCATCATCAAAACTAGTGTAGGAGACTGCTGTATTGACTAGATCAATGTGATCATTGACAGAGTTGCCTATCGGGGATGACAGATTATGAAGTAACCGAAATTTGCTGGGAACTTGCTCAGGTACCAAACA